GAAACATGAATATGAGTAGTTTAATTATTTAGCAAATATACGATAAAAATTATATGCATAATATTGGTCCATAAATGGATCCCAAAGTTATCATTCACTTTTGTTATCGGGGAATAACAATACGGTCACATGTAGTTTAACCAAACAAAATTAATAGTTTTGTTCAGTAACCTGATTTACCTTAATATGAGATTTATGTTCTTAGTACTTTTGAATGATGTTGAAGTTTGAATATAAGTGAAATAAATGGTCAATTAAAAAATAATTGACAAAAGATTTAGCCATTGTAAATAACAACGAAGACACTTAATAGTAGAACGTGAATTTAGAGTTGGTAGTAAAATAAACTTACTGGTATCAAACTGATTCCAGTCTTACATGATGTATTTGTTTTAAAACTGCATGTTTGTTTAAATGATTAGTTAGGACTTATAACTTCAGAACATGATGAGAAACTATTGGCGAATATATTGTCCATCTACATATCTTCGATTCGATATTCATATTATTGTCACATTAGTGATTGTTACAAAAAACTATGGAATATATGAGGTAGTTGTGTAGTTGATTCATTCAGTGAATTCACTTAAGTCCATTTTGCTATGATCGAAATAGTCAGAAAACAAGGTGCATTAAGATTAATCTAATTGAAAACGTTCGACATATTTCTAATAACAAATAATAATATAAATTTGAACGTCTCACAGATATTTTTGTGTTAATTGGAAACATTTATCACAATGTAATTTCCATGGACTAAGTCATGGCTTTTGTAATGAACTCATATAAATCAGTGTATGTAAATAGGTTACAAACTATTGTATAACTTGAAAGATACTAACCAATATCACAATAGAATAGGTGAACTAAACTACCGTTTTTCAGAAAACTCTATCATCTGATATCTAAAAATGATTACTTAAATGCAACGTTTTGATAAATCTAAATCTTTAATAACATTTGAGTTAACTTAAACTATTCGAACAGTGTCTTTGATTCTCCACAAATATTTTTTAAAGACTACACATTGGTAACGTGAATTCGACAGAAGATCAATTAATAAGAATAATTGCTATGTTATCGATAGTTCATTTATTTTCTTGTTTTAGTTGACGTGACGATTGTTCGCTATGATATTTGTTTAATATCAGAGTACAATTTAATATGTATAGTAGTTTTATATTACTTTGTATGAATACTGCTTGCCATAGCATTTAGCAAACATTCTATATGATATATAATATGTATATGATATATAATATGCGTCCAATTCCCGACGTAGTGTGATCTTTGGCCTTCCTCTTTACCATTCCCATTCAGGATTCCAAGTTAGTGCTTGCCTCATGACGAAGTTTGATGATTTCCGTAATGTATTCTCTATCCATTTCCAACATATTTTCCTTGTCTTTACGTCTGCATCCGATCTTCCTTACTCATCGGTGATGCTGACCGGGTACATGAAAGTTTCTACCTCTTCCAGAGTTTCGCCATCAAGTGTGATTTTATTGGTGTTCTCCGTGTTAGATTTAAGGATCTTGTTCCCCTTCTTGTATATGTTGAGGCTTACTTATGCAAAGGCTGCTGCCACACTAGTTTTCTTCATCTACATTTGTTCGACTATTTGCATCCAACCTATCCATTTTATTCCGCGCTTCTCCTCAGATGTCAAGGTCTTCGAAATCCAATCAACCGCCAGAGAAAAGAAAAAGGGAGGCAGAGGAAGGCTTTCCTGACTCCGGTGATTACTTGGAATGCGTCTATCAGCTGACCTTCATGCACCACTCCCCAGTGTAGTTCGTCGTATGAACTCCAAATGATGTTGACGATTTTCTCAGTTACTCACTACATAGTATCGAAGATGTTTCCATGATGTTCTCCTATCCACATAGTCAAATGCTTTCTCATAATCAAGGAGGTTGATGTATGGTGATGAGTTCCGTTCAATCGATTGTTCAATGGTGATCTGTAGTGTCGCGTTTGATCTATGCACCAACGAACCTTATGGAATTCGACATGTTGATCTCGAAGTTGGTCGTCTACTGAGTCTTTCATCCGGTTCAACAACGCTCTGTTGTAAACTTTTTGAGATTCATACTCTATGATGATACCTCTTGCGACCTGAAAATACCTGATGCGTTGAAGTTAGTGCATCTTTGGTTACTTTCTAGTTGTCCTCCATAGTAATTTCTTTTTCTTTGAGTAGATCTTGTGAGGCTTGTAGTGGTTGGTACTCGATATTACCCTAAAACTTCGTATATTATTCGTATTGATAACTGTTAATAGATAACGCCCAGACGGTGCATATATCAGAAGGCGAATACGAAGTGTTGATAACGCTTATTATTGAACCACGCACAGATATCCAAAATCACAGGCACATTAAGCAAGCATGAAAGAGTAGTGCCGAAAAGCAAGCGAGTGATCGAGTCGAAGAATGAGTGTGCCAGTCAACGAGTCAATGAACAGGATTAAAATGTACATATATTAATACATAGTGAGATGAATGAATGATCGAATCAATTAAGCGACTAATTTCATGCAGTTAGTTACCTTTATGAAATAGAAAAAAGTCAGAACAAATATTGATGCAGAATAAAATGAATTCATTATATTTCGTGGTTTCTCGTCAGCTGCTTACAACCAAAAATTTATTGTGTCTTTAGCTTTGAGATAATAAATAGTGTGGAAAAATTGACATAAGTGAATACAAAGGATTACAATGACCAATTTAAACGACCAATAATAAAGCTAACAGCATGAATACATGCGTAGACAGTAAGCGATTCTCAAGCGTACATATTCCTACAAGTGCAACAATAATAAAGGTACAATACAAAGGTATAGATAGGTTGTCATTGTACGAATGACTCTGTCTGTTAAATAAGTTAACAGAAGACCTTAACCAAACTAAATATAAGCAAACTCAATTGTACGTGAGCTGTTAAAACCTATCTTAAATGCGTTGTATGCCAGTATCTCGAAAGAAGGCTGTATTAAACCTTTGAAATCCTGTTTGTTCAGTCGTCTAATGCCTCTTCAGCTTCGTTTTCATCTTGGCAAAAACCAGGCAGATGGTGATCTGAAGCTATATCAGCTCCTTGCCTGATTCTCACTCCTCACGTTGTCCTTCTGAATTTGTTAATGATGCATATGTGGTCTATCTTGTTATGTGTAGTGTGATCTGTTGAGACCCATGTAACTTTGTGTATGCGTTTGTGAGGGAATATTGAGCCACCTATAACCGGTTTGTTGAGTGCACATAAATTTGCAAATCTGTCCCCACTCTGGTTTTACTCTCTCAGTCAGTCCATGATGTCCTAAGATACTTTCATAATCATAGTAGCCCATTCTGTTTTTGGCGTTTATGTCTCCCCTCAGTTTTGTCAGGTGCTATTTTGAGCACTTCTGTATGGTTGATTGCAGCCTCTCATAAAACTGATCTTTATTGTCTTCATTGACGTCACTGGTGGGTGGATAACATAGAATAACATTCATTGTGATCCCTTATTCCATTTTACATATGATGCGTTGATGGTCCTGGATCCATGAGATTCCTATCCAATAAGTACTTTACGTGCTTCTTCGGACAACATCAGAGCAACTCCCTGAGTGTGTGGAGCATTTTCTTCTCCGTGACCGGAGTACATCAACATCTATCCTGAATCTAAACTTTTCTGTCTAGCTTGACTCCATTGGGCTTCATTTATTCCTAGCACCATCAACTCGTACCTCTTCACTTCCGTAGCTATTTGACTGGTCCTTCCGATCTCCCACATTGCCCGGACATACCATGTACCAATAAAAACTGATGCTCTTGTAGCTGTCGTATCTTCACTCTGATTGTTGGAAGCGGCATCGGTCTCTTAACATCCGAAGAATTTCCGCCTTCATCATGAGGCGTCATAATTCTGCCGAATGGAGATTGTTCAGCTCAGAGAGTGGACTTTAAGTGGTTTAATATGTTTAAGTGGCTAGTGTTTCATCAGCAAGGTTGTTTTACAAGATGAGGGTGACGATCCCATTCCAAACAGTTTAACTTTGTATTGACTTGAGACCTTCTGTTACCGTTGAGAAGCTACAGTCGGAATTTCTGCATTTTATACCCTATGTAAGTTAACTCCTAAGTATAGTTAAGTCCCAAAAGCTACTATTCGCTGATGATGTAAAAATCTGGCGAGAAGTAACACGAGACGAAGATGCACGGATACGTCAAGCTGACTTAGATGTTCTGATTAGCTGGTCTGAAAAGTGGTTGATGCGTATCAACGCGACCAAGTGTGTCGATATGTACTATAGGGATACAATGTTAAATAAGTACAGTATAAGAGAACCGCCTGCTTCCGTAGTACGATCCAACAAGGATAAAAGAGTGAAAGTGAGCCATGATATTAAGACCACAGTGCAATGCTTCGATATCGTAGCTAGGTGGTTTAGAACCCTATGGGCTTTAAGACGGACATTTACCAATTTAGATGCTTATATGTTTACCACGGTGTACACGATCTTAGTGAGATCCAAACCTGAAATCTGGATTCAGGCTCCAAGCCTCTGTAATAAAAATGACTCAGATATTCTGTAAAAGGTACGGATGAAAGCTGTTCGTGCAATTCCAGAACTCGGAGGTTTATCATGCAAGGCGCAACTTAACAAGCTAGTCTTCCTTACTCTACCAGGTCGGGACAGCTCAGTGGACATAGCGTGGTAGTAGATAGCTAAGATGAAACAAAATACCCGTGGCAAACAGGCTTTTACACTGAGTCACCAATTCTCTGGATCCATTACTCGAAAAGAGGTTACCTATTTCTTCAAACGGTTCATTCAAAAGAAGACTAGACACTCTCACACGTTTACTAGAAAACCATTACCACAGGCTGTCCTAACATCACAAATCTGACATATACTAAATATAAGGAAATGATGTCCATTTGATGTTCTTAAAGAAGTAACAGGCCTTTCGGAAAAATGCTCAGAGAATATTTAGTGCGGAAAGATACAATCGTATGAAAAAAACACGACAACTTTTTCTGCGAAAATGCACGAAATTGTATATTAGACAAACTAGTTGTGTTTTCAAAAATACGCGTTACCGGTTAGTATACATGTCTTTTCATTCAATATTTTGTGATATTAATTAATAGATCTGACCTGTGTCGGCAATTATTTCAAAATTTCAGTATTCAGCTGATATTTTCTGGCTGACGATCAATGTCATAAATAAATTATCGCAATGAGTGGTAAGAATGTCAGCTGGTTTTTTGTTAGCAAAGTAATTAAAAAATAATCCAGACTTTGGGTATGGGATTCATTTCTGTAAGAATGCTCGGCGTTTCATGTCAAAGAGTTTATCACCTGTATAGGAGAATATGTGTAAATGCTACTCATGTTATCACAATAATGCTGTCATATTCACCAGGTCGATTTTTAGAACTGTTCAATAATCCTTAATTATATGGACTTACCTAGGCTTCCCATTTACTATAAATTGAACATGAAAATTCGTGTAAATAATGAGTCTTGCTTAATGTCAGTGATATTTAAGTTTAGTGGGGGATGATGCGTAGCAGTTTTAGACTATGTTATGATCTACAAGGCAGTGGAGCGACGTAAGCAGATACATTTCCATGGTAGCCAGTAACCAATAATTGGTATATACGTCATTCATTCCCTCGGGATTCTGAAACTCATACTCACCATTAGTTTGGAATCAGGGTTTTCCAACTTCACTAAGTGGATCCTCCGTATCCATCAACCCGGTTAAAGCACGGGATATTCGCGTTTTGTCCCCTAAACTTCGTAAACAACACCCACGCTTAAAAAAGGTAGTGATTAGGACTTCCGTGGTAATGACTGTATACTTTTGGTCATGTGAGGGTACATTATTAGTTTTAATTTCCTAGATAAACATGAATTTGGTCTTCACTTTCTATCTTTACATAAAGTTTAGCATATGTGGGGTTTGCATCTGTTCCGAGTGCACGTTTTGCGTTTAGGGTGTATGCCCATTTGTGTGTGAGAAAATCTAAAACTAACTATCTTCAAGTCACTCTCACCTCTTGAAGGTATTTAATGCAAATCGCAAATACCCAGTCTTAAAGTATTTGAGATTTACTAACTGGAGCATAATATTAAACAAGCTTAAGACAACAGATGAAGCTTGATCCAGTTCATAGCCAACCAGAGAGCGCCTTTTGTAGCAAGTAGGTTACAGAGTGAATAATAATATTACAAAGCGTAAATAAATTTCGGACAACTGATGACTTTAATAAAGTCTTTTATAGGTTACTCTACCCGTAAAACGCCAAAATAACAATAAATAATTCCGCTTATAATGACAAGGAATACTCGAATCCTCATTATGTCTCAAGTTGATTTTATAAGTCCTTTAGTGCTTTTGGTTTAGGTTAAGGATTTGGCGTCAGGATTGAGACTTCCGTTACCAAGTGATATCAGCGGCAGTGCGACAACTTCTTGTAGTCATGTGGATAAACTGATTTCACGTAAATGTCCAGTGGGAGCTATATGGTTTTTTTTCACAAAATATAATCTCAGGAGGCTAAGTTTGGTTTCAAGATTAAGTGTTTACAGTCGAGATTCGTATATGGTGTTAGTCTTCCTGTTATATATAACCAGTCGATGGACAGCTAAGGATTTCATTAGCTTAACATTCATTTTTACCCCATGGTGGAAACAGAATTTTGCTATAATTTCAAGCATTCTTAGCCCTACTCAATATATATATATATATATATATATAACCTTTTTGAATATTTTCCCGTTCACGTGTAATAATATGGTTTTGTTACATCTGTAGTTGTGGTGTATTCTTACTTTCGAACATTGGATTATGTGGTAATGGTATATTTCTTAACAAGTTTATTTTCAAAGGTGGAGAAGTGTCACAGTGTTCAGCCATAAATATATTTTTGAGTTCCACAGCAATGTCAGATTTATTAGACATAAACCATGGGTGCCTAAATTCAGACTTATCCGTCAGATGCAACCGTGGGATCCACCAGTTGATCTCAGCAACGACAAAGCTAATGAGAATGAAAGCACATCAGATTTACGTAGAAGATTACGTAGAAATGGAATGTTACCTCCCCTATTATTTTATGATCGTCCAATAAATATTGGACATACAGGTAAACAGTCATTTTCTTCTTTTTGTCGTGAACTTATTATTGTTTCCCTTTGCTAAAATTGGGAAGAAATATCTTATGTGTGCTAACTTCTTTTAAATTCATTTGACTAAAATTGATTCGTATACTTGAGTGTATAATGGAATTTTCGTAGATTGTATGACAGCACAGTTTTAATGATATGGCTTGACCCAAGGAAGAGAACGACGAGGCTAGATGAGGATTTGGTTAACGCCAGAAATATGTTGAACACTATCTAAGTGCACTAACCTTCATATGTTTTATGTAGTGGTTAATAGTCAGATTTTGGATAAATTAGACTGAGCACCAGTGAAGACTTATCAGTCAGTAATGTACTGCATAAACACAACTCATAATATCACAAGACTAAACTGTTACAGCCAACAAATATAACTTATTCGCTAGGCTACGTAAGTACTTTTTCTTAACACCTAATGTACCGTCGATCATGTTATGGTTTGGTACTCTTAGAGCATCCAAACCATTTTCAATATACTGACTACCACCTTCTGTATTCTTATCCTCAAGTTATGAAGGTTTTAGTGTATTTGAGCATTGTTAGAATAGGATGAGTTAGTGATGGGTTCAAAAATTCACATTTCAGTAGTTAATATTTTTGGCTGTTTCATCTTTCTGACTCCAATGAATGCTAAACTAATTTCAATTAGGCACTTTTATGTAAAGATAACTTCTGTGGTTTTATTTATATAGGAAAAACCATCTTATCCAATGCTTACCATTTAAAAGTGTATACTCATTGTCTTGTCCTAAGTAACTGTTAGTATACTAAGTAAACTCTCTCTCATTAAAATAATTGCATGTAAACTTTATGCTATTATCTGTTTGTCTGATGTCTTCTTAGGAACTATATTTGATCCGTATATCCCTCCTGATGGTGATGGTCAAAGTTCATTACTATCAACAAAGGTAGTTGTTACATTTCAATGACAACTTTTTGCCATGTATGTTGTTTTCGCTTTTAGAGACTGGCTCTTTTAAAAGATAATCTCCTTAATAAGGGAAAAAACTATAAGGATTTATCGCTGCTAAAATCACATGAACCATCATTTAATTCCAAACGATTTACTATTGAAGCTGAAAATATTTATGTTGAAGCTCATGATTTGTTACAAAAGTAAGTTTATATCAACTTATTAACCATTATGTCTATCATATGAAAGTATGTCATATATTTCGTATGTTGGGTGAGTGTAATAGTTAGTCACAGTATTCCAAAACTAATTCAGGATCCTATTGTTTGTTTTTTATCAATTAAAGATAACCAGGATGCCTTCGTTTAAATTTTATGTCGATTTATAATTCTAAAAATACAATTATTTTCAGATTAAGTAATTAAATAAGGTTTCATATACTAAGCTTGAAGCTATACTTTTTTGAATTATGAGTGGCAATACTCCGAAGATAAAAAAGCTATATATCCAATGCAGAATATGTGTTTAACACTCAAATGTCTTGAACCAACTGTTTTCACCACCAAGTCACAGCTTACAACTTCAATTTAAGTAGGTGGGTAGTATCACTAACTCTCAAATTGAACGGTTTGATCAAATCTAAATGCACAATAATTTACTTAGTTACTTACATGGATTAAAATAATTAATTGTTAAAATTTCTACAGTACGATATAACTTTTTTCGACATTTTCGAAACAGTCCTACTGTTGCCACAAATGCCATTCTCATGGTTACTCTCCAAAGTGGGTATAATCATCCCTGAGCTGTCTAAGCAACACTTACTACTTCGTGTCGACCTGTGAGTAAATTATTTCCTCTTTTGTTTGTGTTTTAAGAGTAGACGAAAAACATTCGCGCTGCTATATTTTACCATCTGTCAGTATCTGATATGGTAATGTTCGTAGAAGAAGCCTCATCACAACAACATTAGTGAATCAATATGTAATGAAACGACATTATGTCCACTGAAGTTTCTATGACATAATATTACTTACTCATCTAACAGGTTCATATGTGAATGCTTGGCTTCGACTAGTACTCTGATTATGGGGGCTCCCGAATCGAATAGGTGGAGGGGATTTCAAACTGGCTATTCAGTGGACAAAAGTCGAAAGCCTTAACCACTGTTCTGAAGTGTCATGTAATCAGTATACAAAGTTTAGTTTATGGCAATTTTTACTATGGTATGATTATATATATCTGTTATAAACGTGAATATGCCGTCGCCAATTGTTATAAACGTAAGGAGAGGATGCTTGTTATAACAGTAGGGGTTCTTGTTATAACAGTCCTTTTACTTGTTACACGTATGTGGGACGTTAATTTATCTTAGACGAATATCTACACTAGATTCCCACCCAGTGTCTATTCTACAGGACTTCAACAGAACTCAGATCAAGAACATGAGATTAGCCTGACTATAACGTCAATATATTTCCACACCAAAATCCGACACAAAGAACAGTCAATGAATAAGTGTCCATCAACAAGGAACAGTCAATACATAATAATGATAGGGAAATATATATAACACATATAACACCTGTCATCCCCTCTAATGTCTGACTCATCAAGACAACCAATCATTATCATTCTCGCCCACACATTAATATCTATGTTACCTACCCCCTTTACTTCTCGTGAGAAGTAGGCCATCATCTGGGGACCTTAGACCAACTGTCCTACTCTCTTCTTTCCAGTTTTTCTCAAGTGCTTTTCATCATTAATATCTGCCTCTAGTTCCTGGTTCATGTTATTTGGCCTGCCTCTTTTCTTCTTGAATAGGAAATTTCAAGTTAGGAATCGCTTTATGATCCAGTTTGATGATTTCCGTGTGAATTATACATTTCCAGCGTCTTTCCCTAATTTTCTCCTCTGATGGAAACTAGTTTATTCTCTGACACAGTCTACGACTGCTGACTTTATCTTGTCAGGTTGTATCTCCTCATTTCCACAGCTTCTTGATTCACTCAGTCAGTTACAACGTAGGACCAAGCACATATATCCATCGGTCCAAGTTGCCACACCTCGTTAACACAACAAGATGAACACCAAATTCATAAAAGCAGTTACTTTAACGATAGTAATATATAAAGGAAAGATTGTGTAAAAAAATAAAATACGGGAAAAAAGAGTTAGTTCGTAGAAAGAAAGGTATAAAGTAATTTTAATCTCACGGTTTAAGGGAAAACAAAGAGTGTATACACCTACACCATCGTGATTGACTCGGAGCCATATTACCTAGAGTCTCCAACCATTAGTTACGATAATCGCAGGGACCCCAACCAAGTGATCTGCATCTACCAACATGGCTGAAACCAGGAGTTAGTGACTTTATAGGTTGATGCCATATTTTGGTATGGCCGCTTCTAACTTTCTTCCAACCGTCTCCAACACTAGTTAGCATTGCGCGTTGTGGTAATCAGTGTCCAGGCGTACGTAACACGTGGTCCTCTCGGGCTCATATTGTGCAATAATTTCATGTGCCTATGTTAATTTTTGTTCTGGTTATCAAAAGAGGTAACGGTCTTGTGACTCTCTAAGAACCTCGGCTTTTATCACGAGGCGTCATCACTTTTCTAAGTCGACGTCTTTCAACTGTCAGAGCATAGTTTAAATGACTGAAATGATCTTTCTAGTTGGTGTTTTTTTCTATGGGACGGTACTATTAACTCCATGCACAACTCCCCTCCTTTCTTTGGATTTGGGGCTGGGAGTAACACTGAAAGTATTTCGGGCGCTAGGCATTTCATCTGAAATTAGATATCTTATATTTCTTTCAGTATATTTATTTCTAGCAAATGTAAATGCAAAACCTCATCCTGTGGGAGCCTTTAAATGTAAACTATTGACTTACGGTCATGAAATTATTTAATTACTTATGATATTTTGTGCTTAATTGTTTGAATTAACTTTCAGTTATCGTCAAAATGAATCCCGATTATTTGAACTAGTTACAGAAAAAGCACTAGTAGTAAGTTATGTTTAACTGTCTCTGTGTTTCAACTCGAGTGACTTTCATTCTTTCATGATAGCTTATCGCTATTTAATAACAATCAAAGTCACATGTCATTGTTTTGCTGTGTATTTTATTCACTGTTTTTCATGACAATGAACCATGCGAGTCAATTTTGTAATTGTCATTTGCCTAACTTCGAAAGTGCTATTATTCATCATTTTTGTCTGCCATGTGGAATTATATGTAAAATAGTCACGAGACTGTTTTCAAGTATTGTTGGTAGGATTTGGTTGAACTGTTATTATTTGACTCAAAGAATTTAGTATTACACAATCGAAAGAATGTAACTTCGTTAATTCTACTAGATTTCCCTCTATCGATTATTTAGAATCTTACACAAAGTGATACTTTCTGATATCACAGCTAGAATGAATTAGCAGCGACACTAGAAAATAATTAACCGGAATTAGGCATAAACTTGACAAATAGATAAACCGAAAATAGTAAAACGCTTTTGGCAGCGAAAGCACAATAAAGTTAGAAGCAATCTGCGTCAATAAGATCGATTATAAGGGTCATGTTGTGACTTAACTCACTTGCCCCTCTGCTCTTACAGAGAGCAGTGTATTACTTCTTACAATTCGATTCAACAGCGGTTTCTTGGGTTGTTGTCATATTTTCATATGAACACTATGATGTATTTCTTGCCGTAGTTGGGCTAGTGTAGCTAAGGAAATCGAAGTTTGCTATGGATTATTAGTAAGTCTTTGAAAAATACCAGACTTTTAAACAACCTACAGAATTTTTAAACTTTCGGATTCCTTGGTTTCTGAAATAATTGTTATTGGATTTCTGGTGGTCGACTGTTTTCACCACTCTCACTAATTCTTGATTAGTATTTGGCGCACTGTTTTACTGATTATTTAATCAACTTCATTCGATTTTATCAACTGGTTGTCTGTCTGTTTGGCACCTCATTTATATAAAAATCATACTCTGGGCATATTGGTAACTAAGTACAGATGATCCTTATCTTATTTGTTAAATGATGTATAAAAACAGCTCTGTAGTTTATCACTTAATAATGCTTTAATTTTCATAATAATTTCTATCAAAGTAACATCAAAATTTTGTAGATATTCTGATTCTCACTACTTTATGTTATCCTCCCCATTTTATTAGGATATGACTGCTGACCTAAAACTTCGAACTCTGCAATGGAAGTTTGTGGGTAACATTGAGCCACCCAGAGTTGTACAAATACGCTGCAACGAGCTTTTATCTAAAGGCAATGTTTACGCTCAAGTTACAGTTCGTTTCTATACACAACAGGTAACAGGTCAACTAATTACTAATCTTATGACTTATCAATATAGCATTGTTCCTTAATTTGTGTATTCATAAATATTATTCATTAATTGAATGTATAAAATTTTAAGAATGAATATGGCTCTTCAGATTATCATTTACACAATTTATTTTAATAGTTGAGTTTAAGTTTAGTGTCGTAAGCCCATATATATATATATATATATATATATATATATATATATATATATATATATATATAGTTTTCAAAATGGTTGGAACGTTGATTACACCGGCTCCTTTAGTGTTGGTACATTTGTAGGTTTGTTTTTTTCTTTCGTTTAGCTAATTCTATTTTACGTGTGTTTACATTTTGCTACTATGAAAATCCCAGAAATGAATATTCTGTAAATCTTATATCGGTGTTTAGTTGTGACTAGTTTTTGTTATTGCTTTGTGAATACGAAGTCTATGTTTAATGATATAAATAATTAACAATCTCAGCTTTATGTTAAGCTTCAGATAACACGGAAATAATGTAACTTTCTTCGCAACTATTATGTTTGCATAAAATAGTTTATCAGTCAAGTGATTGTAATCTCATGTTTTTCCCTCAGACGTATTCATAAACATTAAACTATCTTTGGATTTAAATATGTTAATTGTCGTTCTTTAAACTGTACACAGTGATCAATGTGTTCATTCAAGTGTAAGGTATAAAAAAATACATTTGGTTGACTTTTGTTCAACACTTCTAATTTTACAGAATGCTTAATTGTATACTGAAACTTCGTATTGCGTATAGTTTAATATGACCATTGACTGGTCGTATTCAATTCAGTCTTAAATCACTTAATAATTCTTAGGGTATGCTGAGTTAGAAATGTGATTTTGGCTAGTTTTTGTATGTCTAACCAGTGTTAAAATTTTATTCTTTTTATATTTTTGTCAAGTGTTATCACCTCTTCTTTTTTTCATTTGTAATAATACAGATTTTATCGATTTATAACCGTTTCGGGCGTCTACTATATGGTAATCCGGATACTGCTGTTGATGTACTCGAATATGTTGTATTTGAAAGACATATTTCCGATGAATATGGTACATGGAGATTACACGGTAAAGTCTCTCGTCCAAACTCTACAGTAAACTACACATATATACCTACTCAACGGTTATTCCCAATTAATTCATCAACAACATCGGAATCAAATAAATTGATCTCAAATAGTCGAAATGACGTTGATAATCCAATATCACTAAACAGTTTGAATAAAGATAATATGAATTAATTGTTGTTCGATTTTATGTATTAACAAAAATTAATTAGGCAATAATCTTTTATAAATGTTTCGTACTGGTACAGTAATCACCTTTCACTTGGTTATGGAATCAGTCTACTGTTCAACCACTAATATGACAAAGCTATGGACTCATTCGTTATGATGTTAAATGCTACTCTACCTTCTAACGTTTGACATTGGTTAGTATCTTGCGTCACTTTCGAGTTCTAACCTATTTGTTTTAAGCTAAGATTATAGAACATAGTGTATTGAACAAAACACCGGTTGGGGACCATCGAATGCCATTTATAAATGGCATCTCAGATGGATTTGTTCATATTTTGACAGTCAAATTTTCAGTTAAAATTTTTTTTAAAATACATGAACTCGAAATGATTGTATATGGCTATATTTAGGAGGGTTTTAAGTCATTAACAATTATTAGGATCTCGAGTTGAATAAAGCTAAAAATGTGTACTACTGGATGCCACTTTAATGGTCTAATGGCTAACTATTCACCTCGATCCTTCCTGAGATCATGGATTCATACCCTTCGGCATTCCATATTGGGATTTATATGCATATATTATCATACTGAGAAGAAAATTTAAAAAGTTATTAGTTCATTGTATGATACCATTTGCAGAATGGTGAGTAATGATGGTTGTAATTAGTAGGTATCGGAAATCCGATGTGTATACAGTCTCAACATACCACAGAAACAAGCTACTATGTACATCCATTTGTTAGTGTATAAAATAATGATGTATTTAATTATTTTCATCTAGTAACATCAAAAATATTTAAGTATTATTTCAGCTGTCAACATGTTATTTCAGAATTTCAACATGAGCACGAGTGGTTGTTGAGAGAAATACCGAATCTAAACTTATTTTTGGTATTGGCCACACCAGCTAGTTCCATTTATTGACACAGAGAGATTTCCTCCTATTGGTCCGTTATACTTAAGCTTCCCTCTATGTGCTGATTTAAAACTAAAAGTCTGCAACCAGCCTCTGCTGTACTTAGATTTCAAACACGTGGTTAAGATGTAGGCATACTGAACCGCTTCACACCGTAAAATGAAGAATAACAATTTTACACAAACGAGCCAAAAATGACTGTGAATAGAAGTTGTGAATGAAAAACTGACAAGAAATTAACAATAGCAAGCCGTATAACAGTAGTTAGTATGTCAACTAAAAACTCATAATAAGTAGAACATATAAACATGGTAATCCAATTACTCAGTAATTATACAATATGAATAGGTTAATAGCAACCGACAAATTTGGAATTTATCAACACTTCCATCGTCGTTCTAGTATACCGAAACTAGAAAAACAGACATTCAGAGTCTGATAATTTATTCACTAAGAAGTCAAGCGATGGTTTTTCAGTTATAAAATAAATGGACCTTATATTTTATAACATAACTGATTTAGTTATGATAATATATTGTTGGTCTCTTGAAACGCAATCAATTGATGCATTCGTTTACAATCATCTACACATCGAGAAGCAGCGACACTCTTAGAGAGCGATCGATAATGTGCGTAGAAATTTTACGAAGTAGACAAAATAACTGACTGTTTGGCACATACCAATAAGGTTGATGTATCCTGACACTGGCTTGAATTGCGTTATCACCCAATTATGATATGAACATTCAACAATATAATATTCTAAAAGAAGAGTATATTAAAATTATAAAATCTTGTCCTCGATATATTAAGATGTACAAAGAGTCCTCACTAATGTACAACAAGATAATACCAGGTCACAAGTATACTCTATATTTAATCACTAAAATCTAAGTGTTATCTTAGGAATAATGAATTGATTTGTTAGTCATAATGTATCTTACTATTAAAATTGAAGACACCTTTTATTGGAAGATTTGTACTTTAGTTTCACTCTTAAAATTATCGTGAACAATTATACTGAAAAGTTAATCCTGACGGTTAAGTTTTTTAGCATCATAATGTAGCTTATCAGAAAACAATAGTACCAGATTGTTTCTCGTAAACTTCCATACTACTTAAGTAGTTTGAGTTGAGTCGTAAATATCTTGCCAGTATGATGATGATTTACTGACTAATTATTACATATGAAATGAAATTGCTAATGGTCGCGATCACCTTACGTAGGATTTTCGACAAATCTTCTTTCCTGTGTATTAAACATTTTTTGATACGTACTCAAGGGCAACAGTTTACTATTATTTTAAATAATACCCATGTTTTCGATTTTCCGGAAAAAACTATTATCTGCAATAAATAATTTATCAGGATAATATATCCATTTCAGCCCAATTAACTAAGATAGTTTATTCTTCCAGACAGTGAATAAAGATTGCTGTCCATCATTACGTGAAAATGATCATGATTATTTGTGACTATATGATTCACCTATATGTTAATGTTGAATCTGAATATAAACCTCCAAGTAGCAGATACAAGTTGAACAGAGAAAATCAAATTAAAGTACAGACAGCAATCATATTATTACATCCTACAGAAAACAGTTAAATCCGTGACCTACATCCTTTCACACCAATTAAGATCTATTTAGTGTGGATCTTTTTTAAGAAATTAGTTCACTTTGATTATAAAAGTACTATCATGCATTGATTACAATTAAAAAGCTGCTTTGTTCAAAGTTGAGAACAAACAATTAGTTTGCTTTAAACTTGTATGATTATGAACAGAATAGATCAACCAGTTGGTTGAAAATTAGTTCAACAAGGCTGTTTTGTAAAAAAAATGAGAAACATGCCTAATCTTATTCTATAAATGAACCTTAACATTCAATTTACATTTAACGTTTAGTATAACAAATACCAGTTTGATGAATATCGCTAAACTAATTTGGTTGTAAAAACAATTTGTAACATAAATGTTGCAGTTAACTTTGATTTCAGAATTGAACGTAATATGAGGCGAGAATCAAATATTGCTTTCAATAGTGACTATGCACACAGACATTTTCTAATTATTCATAGAAATCAAATTAAGGTACTTAAGGAAACACAGCATGTCTATATGGGAATCTGAAACAAAGGAGTGATTAATTTCCTTCAAGTCCAGTTGGCTCCAGTTTTCGAGAAAGGTTTCTTTTATCCGTTATTGTAATTAGTATACGATCATTATTTGCAGTATTTGTTAAAATGACACTATTTAGTAACATACACTAAAACTCTTGTAAATATAAACATGAATCGATTAGAATTTGAAATGGTCGTAAAGCAATCAAATACTATGCAACCTAAATCACAATTTCCTACTTCAGGCAAACCCTAACGAACCACATTCTATTCCGAAGTCACTAATGTTAATAAGTAAATTATTTATCTGTCAGTATAGGGTTATGGAGATTGCTTAGTATTCTAAGTTTGGTGAGATCGGTTCGTCATCTCAGTCATTTATCTGTTTCGATCGGGGCAAATATTACTACGAAACAGTTGTACTGTTTTTCCGTCCGGTCATAAAGCTTATAGCAGCTCCCGTTTTCCTTCTCCACAGTAAGCATTAGTTGCCGAGACGGATCGTACAATAAAAAACACATCTTTTGAAAAATAGGATACACTACATGATAATAATTTCCTTTCTCTGAAACGTTTTCAATTAACATACATGATGGCTTTTTCATATTTGTTTAAAGCTTAATAATCAAATGTGTTTGAGTCTTCAGTAAAACTCTCACTAAGATTATTGTTAAAATAAAGTCAAGGACTTTAGGAGTTACTAAGTGACTTAAATTACAATAAATTTGTACAACTATTAGTTTTATAGTTTTTTAAAGCATGTGTCAATTGAAGCTAGACCACCATGGAAAACCTGGAAACACTGGACGGCCGTTTCGTCCTATTATGGGACTCCTCAGCAGTGCGCATCCACGAACCCGCTCGCGCGAGATTAGAACCCAGGACCTACCAGTTTCGAGCCGAAGCCCTTAACCGATAGACCACTGAGCTGGCATCCAACGGTGTTAATGTCTAACTTCAACTGATCCACGAAGTTGAGCAACCATTCACCAATTGTCTTCAGTGAGTTCCTATCTCACAACAGACGTGGTTTTGAACTCCACTGGTCACTGGTCACGAAACGGCCATCCAGTGTTTCCAGGTTTTCCATGGTGGTCTAGCTTCAATTGACTCATGCTTTAAAAAAACTATGAAAAATACTAAATCTCCACAAAACCCCCTCTGATAATCATTAGTTTTATAACAAAATAAGGAAAGAGAGAAACTCTAACATTCAAAATCAATATTATTATTTTAATATAGTATCATCCTGTGAAATCTAGTGGTTTGAGCTTATATCCCGTGTTCAAATCTCGTCATTAAATATGCTATATTCCTTTAACGTGACCATACGACTTTTACTTTTGTAATAAAAATGTGATTTATAGTCATTCTTAATTTATTAAAATATCTGCCTCTATAGGCATTGTGTAAAGAAATATAATGTGTAACGGAACTGAAATTACTGGTTAATTATAAATTCGATCTAAACGCTACATCTTATTGTTGTCTCGATCTAAAAATTATCTTAATCTTTGAATGTTCTGTTCAGTTGCCATGTGAATTGTGAGCAAACAAACGTCGGTATCTCAGACAAAAATTTCTTCATTCAGATGCGATTTAATTCATATAAATTTGTTCTTCATAGTAAATTGATAAGTTGGCCGACATACTTAAATCGATGAAGTAGCTGTGCAGAAATTTCGACGTATTCTTTCTACTTTCAATGTGTTTTAACCAGCCCTCATTATTTATTGATATTCCCATATAAACTCACGACCGGTCTTCACACTAAATGCCGTGAACACAAATGGAATCATCAGAAGGTTTTTTTATATATCTTTCTACGTTTATCGTTTAAAAGAAACCAATACACACAAACCGAATAAATAATCATATTTTTTGATCATAGTTGTCTTCATAGCACTCCTCACCTATTGTGAAGAAACAGAGTAATCAGTGCCAAGGTATGGAAATGAGTAATAGGCGAAGACGATAAATTGGCCCATGGATCTGTGACTGAAGAGGGGTGGTTACGGCATGTAATGCATATGCTTGACCATCATCTACCTTGACACGCACTGCTAACTGGTATAAAATTAAACTGTAAGAATACTGAAGTATAAAAAATAAGCCATATTATTAGTCCATTCGGTCACTAACTGGTAATCTGAGCCATATTGTCAGACGCAAATTGGATGGTTGGAAGATGCACGATCACTTTAACTAGTAAAGTCGTTGGGTGACATAATATCAAATTGGTCACAAAGGTTTAGATGGGCTCCCTTTTTATGCTCCTTTAAATATTCACATTCAGTATTCCCTTATACATACTTTTTTATTCCTCATTCTCTGAATATGTTTTTATTGTTTACTCTTTCTTATTATTATCGATACAACATTATTTATACTTTTATTAATTTAATCTTATAGACCTAATGTGGTATACCAACTACAGATAACGTACATTTCTGTCAGACTGTACCTTAATTACACTTGACTGATCAGCATAAAAATGATGCCATGAAATGAGCATGTTAAGGACAGATTTGACGATTTACGAAAGATGATATATATGTTGAAACTTTACAATGCAAATGTATAGTAGATTGAAATTTCTTTGAACAATCTATTATTTTATTACTGAGACTTATTCATTTTAACCAAACATATGTGGTTTTCAATGAAATGAATATTATCATTATACTTATTTGTACACCAAATTCAAAAAAACAACAACCGATTTATTCGACGCTGAGGAGTCCCACAATAGGACGAAAAGGCCGTCCAGTGCTTCCAGGTTTTCGATGGTGGTCTAGCTTCAACTGACTCATGATCTTAACTATATAAAATTAATAAAATCTCCACGAAACCCCTTGTGAAAATAATCATATGCTCACTAGTGACTGGCTCCATGAGGTAATTCCTGGAGTTCTATTGAGAAGTCGTGGCCGGTGAAGCTAATCCATGTCAGGTAGAGACAGGTATCTACCTCAGTACAATGGAAGTTGGTCGCGCAATTTCGTGGAATGCTTGAGGTTAGACATTAACACCGTTGGATGCCGGCTCAGTGGTCTATCGATTATGTGCTCTGGCGTGAGACTGGTAGGTCCTGGGTTCGAATTCCACGAGGCGGGATCGTGGATGTGCACTGCTGAAGAGTCCTACAATACAACGGAATGGCCGTCCAGTGCTTCCAGGTTTTCCATGGTGGTCTAGCTTCAACTGACTCCTGATATTAACTATATAAAAGCTACTATTAAAGATTAAACAATTAATATTATTATAATGAATAATCAAATAGTTTTATATCACAGTCGCAAATAAAAAATAATACAGAATATAAACAATTCCGGGTAATAGCAAGAATAAGATCATTTGAAAACAAATAATGAAGAGCGAATAGTAAACAAACCTTTCAAATCTTATTATCAATTTATCAATTGTACTTTGTGTACAAATTATGCAAAGGAGAATAACATTTTAAAGAAAAAAAACAAGATTGTTTTGGCACTCATCAATTTGATTTATTTACCTGAATGTCATCAAAATCAAACTGAATGAAAAAGAAATTATGTAACAAAAAGAAAATTAAATAAATAAATAAAACGATAATTTGATCTTCACAAAAATTTACATTTTTTTCTGAAGAAATAATGATTGCACAACACATGAACAGATATAATATTGGCACATCAATTCGATGGTGGTGTGTGTGTGTGTGGATAAATTTTATTTACATCGTGTAAATAGAATAATAATGTAAAATATACCTTATAAAAAATTACTGGTGAAATCTTGCTTACATAAACAACCAGGAATATGTTGATGATATAAGTTAGTTTAAAGTAAACACACCCATCCACATAGGTGGTGATAATGAAATGAATAGATTTAAAATATGTTAAATCAATCTTTTCTATGGAAAAAGAAAGAAGCACTCCGAAAATCCCATGAAAACGTGTTTTTTAGGAATGTGAGCACAAAATATAGAACATAATATATCTCGAAAGAGACATTGTGATTGCTTTTTAGAGGAAAATTATGTACAGAAATAATTCTAACATACATTAGGGTATGTATATACACATATATATGTTTGATAAATTGGTTAAATTTCATTGTAAGAAATGCGGTTCCTGTATTTTGTAACTTTTTTGTTTTGATTAATCATACACTTTTACAAAGCATCAAAAGTGAAATTATTTGCACTAAATATAACATTTAGAATCATAATATTACTCTGATAAACAGTGGAATACTGAGGCTGATAGACAATAATATACAGATATAGAGGCAGATGAAACTTTGACATCTAAGTAATAAAGGTAACAGAGAGAAATTTCGATTTAAATACAATAAAGCTGGAATCTTCACAAATCTCAGATGAAAAAACAATTTTTTTCCAAGAAAAATATTTAACAGTTATCAAGGGAAACAGAAAATAAAATTGAGTACTGAACATTAACTGTTTATTTGTGGAGAAAAAAAAGCAAACAGAAAAACGAGTTGAATTTATCAATCATCATGAAATAAAATGTGATAACTTCACAATTATTAGCGAAAAATATAGTTTCGGAAGCTCCAATGCCTTAGTTCAGTAATAAGATCATCTGTCAAAACGTATAGCGTATGTTCAGCGTGAATGTGAAGACAGTTAAAAAATTTTCCTCTTTTATAATTTTTAATTTAAAAAATGTATATTACGATAGTATTACAATTGATTCAGAAAGTATTGGATTGAGTAATTGGTAAAACAAACATTTCACAAACTATCTATTTGTGACTATAACCCATGTTGTTACTACTGACACCATTGTTATTAATTCCATTATTATAATTAGAACTATTAGTATAATTATCAATATGTGCATTAACCGGAATTGTTTCATCATTGGATCCGTCGATCTTTACATTCGTTTTATTGATAAAGTTGGTGGAAAAGAAATTATCAGTAACGCTATTGCTTACTATGTCTTTTATGTTACCAGAATTAGTTTGAAAAGGAATGTTTCTACTATCATTGCAATTATCATTTTTATTATCGTGGATAACAGGTAATACTTCCATTGTTGTATATGAAAACAAATGAGTTTCTGGCTGAGAGTTGTTGGTAATTTCATCATTTAAACAATCAAACCTATTTTCATCACGAAATTCTTTTAAAACACTGTTTGTATCTTGCATATGAATATTTTCTGAAACTGTACGTCTTTTGAATACTTTCTGTACATCTATTGATGTACCACAAAACGCAGGTTTATAATTATAAGATGCAACGTCTGTATTTATTTTCATGAAATAATCATTGGTATAGTGATTGATAATTGTACTATTAGACGATAAACGTTGAGTTAATCCACCAAAATGAATACGGTAAGTGTAATTACCCCATTTAATACGCCATGGATTAGATAGAGCAGTGATAAAAACAACATAGACTAATAATTCGCGACTAATCCAAGCAAGTAGAAATTTTGCAAATGAAAATTGAAGTTTTGAATTCTATTAGTGGAAAGCAAAAAAGATGAAACAACAAAGAAAAACATATAGGCGAAAAGAGATAAAGAATAAAGGCAAAATATCATAACGTAACAAGGAAATTGGCTTTTTACAGAATAATCTATTTACAGAACAAACATGTGCACTCTGAAAGGACCACAATGCGAAAAATAATCAGTCATTTATAAGCAGTTACCGTGGTCATTAACTCTGATTGTAGCCCCTCTATAGCTACTGTTATTCCCGAATTCATTTGAAGAAGAGGGTTCTGAGTTGTGAAAAAGCAATTTTAAACTCGTTATAAAGTTGCTAACAAGAGAACCGTGTCGATTGTATTTTACTGTAAGCCGTTGAGTTTAAATGTCTTGCAAGGCAGAAAATAAATTATGAAATTAGGAACCCCAGCTATAGAAAACTAATGTTTTCCCAATCAAAAGGTGGTACATGTACATGAACTAATCTTCCCTGTAGTTTTAAAATTTAAACTTACCTGATTTCATCACCCTTTTTTCAAATATTTAAACAAGCAATAAAGTATTGATATTAATTTATCCTACTTGGTGCGTATCATTTCATTAAACGACTGTTTTGTCCTATTTTGAAATCTTAAAGTTGTGTGCAATCATTACCACAAATGGGACCGAAAGAAGAATTTATAATTTTGTCAGTAACCAGTGAATTTCTAGATGATGTCAATCCAAAATGAAACTAAACTGTCTAAATAATAACATTACGTTCATTTAAGAATAGTTTTTAGATGAAATCTTCGGAATCTAATATTTTCAAAGTAACGTCGTTATATCGCGAAATGATTTATATTGAATATGCAAAACATTGAATTCTATGTAGTGTAAATGTAATGAGTTCCTAACGAAAATAGAAGATTCTGTTTTTAAATCCATTGAATGTTGAATCCGAGAACTTATGTAGATTCTTAGATTAAGAAGTACCAGGTGATCAGTTTTACCTCTTGTATAATGGATCAACAAATGGTATCAATAAAGAATCAAAATTATCATGAGATAGCGTTAGTGTATCAGAATGGGCTAAATCAACAAACAATTCCAGATAATTAGTTTGTAATATGTAAATTGAGTTAAATTTAGTTGTTATTAACTTTAATAACATCGATACTGGACGAAGAACTATGATCATCTAGTCTACTGAAATACTATCAACTCACTTTAGATACAACCAATAGTAAACTGATAAATTAACTATAAAGATTAAAAGTGTAAGAATAAATTTTCAAAAAATGTCCGTCACTAAGTCATATTACTTTCCACGTAAGCAAAATATTAACATGCCCTTATCTTGCAAGTTAATCCGTGATAAGAGATAGAAATAAATGATAAAATATTGAAACCTTTTTCAAAAAAACCTTTGTATATGCTTAACTCCGCCTGTAGCTCTTCTAGAGTTACTGCCGGTCCCAAGCCCGGGTAAAGGAGGAGGGTTGGGCATGGGGTTAGCGACCCCATCCCGTAGAAAAGCTAACTCGCTAAAAAAACGCTAACCAGAAAAAATAATCCAAACCATTTAAACTCTGCCCTGGGAGTTGAAGGAATAATGACGTCTCATGATGAAAGCCGAAATTCTTCGGAAGTCACGAGACCGATGCACCTTCTAACAACCAGAGCAACACTCTTTATAGGTACATGGAACGTCCGGACAATGTGGGAAACAGGAAAGACCAGCCAAATAGCAATGGAAATGAGGAGATACAACTTGGCAGTACTCGGAATCAGCGAAACCCATTGGACACAAACTGGGCAACAAAGGCTAGGTACAGGAGAGATGCTGCTGTACTCCGGTCACGAAGGGGAAAATGCGCCACACACTCAAGGAGTTGCTCTAATGCTGTCCAGAGAAGCACGAAATGCACTTGTGGGATGGGAATCTCATGGACCCAGGATAATCAAAGCATCATTCAGAACAAAGAAGGAGGGGATCACAATGAACGTTATCCAATGTTATGCACCCACCAATGATAGCAATGACGATGATAAAGATCAGTTCTATGAAAGGCTGCAATCAATTATAGCAAAGTGCTCACGAAAGGACCTCACCATCCTTATGGGAGATCTAAATGCTAAAGTTGGAGTGGACAACACAGGATATGAAGATGTAATTGGACGACATGGACTAGGAGAGAGAAATGAAAATGGGGAGAGACTTGCAAACCTATGTGCTTTCAACAAATTGGTTATAGGCGGCACAATATTCCCACACAAACGCATACACACAGCTACATGGATCTCACCGGACCACACCACAGAGAACCAGATTGATCACATCTGTATCAACAAAAAATTCCGAAGATCAATAGAAGATGTGAGAGCCCGGAGAGGAGCTGACATAGCTTCAGATCACCACCTGGTTGTGGTCAAGATGAGACTGAAGCTAAAGAAAGACTGGACAACTGGACAAACAGCACTACAAAGGTTTAATACAGCCTTCCTTCGAAATACTGACAAACTCCATGAATTCAAGATAACTCTCAACAATAGGTTCCAAGCTCTACAGGATCTACTGGATGGACAATAAACTACTTTGGAGGACAACTGGAAAGGGATAAAAGAAGCACTAACTTCAACGTGTCAGGAGGTTCTTGGTCCTAAGAAGCACCATCACAAGGAATGGATCTCTATGGGGACCCTGGACAAACTTCAAGAAAGGAAGAACAAGAGACTAGCAATTAACAACAGCCGAACACGAGCAGAGAAAGTCAAACCACAAGCAGACTACGCAGAAGCAAACAGAGAAGTGAAGAAAAGCATTAAAGCTGACAAGCAGAAATACATGGGAGAACTAGCAACGGCGGCGGAAAAAGCTGCAAGAGAAGGGAATATGAAACAACTATATGATACAACGAAGAAATTGGCAGGGAGATATAGCAAACCAGAGAGACCAGTCAAAGACAAAGAAGGAAAGACAATCACTGAGATTCAGGAACAGAGGAAAAGATGGGCAGAATACTTTGAGGAACTGCTGAATAGACCAGCCCCATCGAATCCACCGAACATCGAAGCAGCCCACACTGACCTTCCAATAGATGTCACTCCACCAACGATCGAAGAAGTCAAGATGGCCATCAGACAAATCAAAAGTGGGAAGGCGGCAGGACCTGACAATATACCAGCAGAAGCACTGAAGTCAGACATTGAAGTAACTGCAAACATGCTTCACCTTCTATTCAAAAAGATTTGGGAAGAGGAACAAGTGCCAACGGACTGGAAAGAAGGATATCTCATCAAGATACCAAAGAAAGGAGATCTGAGCCAATGTGAGAACTACAGAGGCATCAGTTTGTTATCAGTACCAGGAAAAGTTTTCAACAGAGTGCTGCTGAATCGGATGAAAGACGCAGTAGACGCCGAACTTAGGGATCATCAGGCTGGATTCCGTAAGGATCGGTCGTGCACAGACCAGATTGCGACACTACGGATCATCGTTGAACAATCAGTTGAGTGGAACTCATCACTATACGTCAACTTCATCGACTATGAGAAGGCGTTTGACAGCGTGGATAGGAGAACATTGTGGAAACTTCTTCGACACTATGGAGTTCCTCAGAAGATCGTCAACATTATCCAAAACTCATACAATGGATTACAGTGCAAAGTGGTGCATGGAGGACAGCTGACAGATGCATTTCCAGTAAGGACCGGAGTCAGACAAGGCTGTCTACTCTCCCCATCTCTCTTCCTTCTAGTGATTGACTGGATTATGACGAATTCGACATCTGAAGGGAAATACGGAATACAATGGACTTCTCAGAATCAATTAGATGATTTGGACTTCGCAGATGACCTAGCCCTCCTCTCTCATACACACGACCAAATGCAGATGAAGACAGCAAATGTAGCAGCAGCCTCCGCATCGATAGGCCTCCACATTCACAAAGGAAAAAGCAAGATTCTCAAATGCAACACGGAGAACACCGACCCAATCACACTTGATGGCGAAACTCTGGAAGAGGTGGAAACATTCAAGTACCTGGGGAGCATCGTTGATAAACAAGGAGGATCGGATGCAGATGTAAAGGCAAGGATTGGCAAAGCAAGGGCAGCATTTCTACAATTGCAGAACATATGGAACTCAAAACAACTCTCAACCAATTTCAAGGTCAGAATCTTTAATACGAACGTCAAGACAGTCCTACTGTATGGAGCTGAAACGTGGAGAACTACTACAGCCATCATCAGGAAGGTACAAGTATTTATAAACAGTTGTCTACGCAAAATACTCAACATCCATTGGCCGGATACTATCAGCAACAGCGTTTTATGGGAGAGGACAAACCAGCTTCCAGCTGAAGAGGAAATAAGGAAAAGACGTTGGAAGTGGATCGGACATACATTAAGGAAATCACCAATGTGCATCACGACTCAATCCCTAACTTGGAATGCTGAAGTGAAGCGGAAAAGGGGAAGGCCAAAGAACACACTACGCCGGGAAATAGAAGCCGATATGAAAAGGCTGAATAGTAACTGGAAAGAACTGGAAAGGAAGGCTGAGGACAGAGTTGGATGGAGAATGCTGGTGAGCGGCCTATGCTCCTCGACGAGGGGTAACAGGCGTAAGTAAGCAAGTAAGTAAGTTGTATATGCCTAACTATATTAATGTGAAACGTGTTTTGTTTTCAATTAAAATTTTTTTCAAAAAAAAACAATTAAAGAACACAATGTAAACTATACTATAAAAAGGTATAAATGAAAATGAAACATTATAACCACAGATGGATGACAGCTAGCGGTGGAATCCAGGACGCGCGTCCCGTCCTATTTGATGAATATTTACTAACATGCAATTATTGTTAAACTTTAAGTCGCATGTGATCTGTAAAAAATATGAATACTGTGATGTATGCTACGTATACTGGCAGATTAAGTAGTATTTAGCCACAATCGAAAGTGGAATATCTGTCAGTAGAAGAGTGAATTGAAGAGAACAGACAGGAAATCGGAGAGCAAGCAAAATAACAATATAATTAGAGGAATAATGGTGTAGGCAAAGGACAACGCAGAAAAGACATGTAAATGATGTATTTAATGTATAATTTTCATATTTTACTAAACAATAAATTGGTTTTTCACACAGAAGTCTCGTTCACTACACTCAGTGTCGCAGCTAGTGAAGTGTATTCTGCTTATGCTGACAGATATAAGTACAATACATCATAATAGTATCTGGTATCTGAAACAATTAAAATCTATGACTTCATGATCAAGTATCGAATTATAGATTCTTTCAAAATAGAATTGAAATACTTCAGTTTCGCATCCCTTTTTGGGAATTTTATTATTAATTTTGTTTAAACATTTAAAAACACTGATGATATTCAAAATCATTAGTCGCTGAATATACATGAAGAAATATTTAGTTACTAAATACACATTTATATACATATATAAAGTCTTTTTAGGATGAATAAGTAATGATACGATTTTCAATCAAACCTTCATAATGAAAGGATACATCATTCTATTATGGTGTATGCTACTTGTGTTAACAGATATAAGTAGTACGTAACAACAATCGAAAGTGGAATGCCTACCAGAAGAAGATTTGTAAAGATTGAATCGAAGAGAACAGGAAGGAGAATATAGACAGATGGTAATAAAAGTTGAATTGAAAGAACCATGAAGTATATCAAAGACAAATGAAAAAAGATGTTCAAATAATGTGATTAATGTATGGTTTTCATATTTTAGGAAAGTGACCTGTAATTTTTTTAGTAAACAATAAATTGGTTTTTCCAACCTGAGTTTACGTTTATTACACTATGAATAAATCGGTTGGGTGTTACACAATAATAAGTAGATATTCTACTAATGTCATTAGTCTGAAATCTGTAGAGTAGGACATCAAAATATTTAAGAAATAGTTGTATTATATTCAACACAAAATTAGAAAAAAATTACAATATTCCTTTCTTCTAATATGGTTTTGAATTTAAGGGACTTAAAGACTTGTTTGAGGTTTTCATCACAACTGTAATATTTCGTGTACAAAATATTTGTGCTTTTTTGTTATTTTTGTTACTACATCTTTCTTTAAAATTTACACTTTTTACAAGGAGGTTCACACTACATACTTCCTTATCGAACTACATGCACATTATATGATGGAGCAGTGACTCAATATAAAAGACATTCAGTTTTCACCCTTTGAGTTCCAAATTTGAACCACACTACATCAGACCGTGAGACTAGTCGTCAAACATAAAGTATGACATGAAGCTGAGTACATTAACATGTACCTGGTAAATGAGTGTGATATGATGGGATTAAAAAGCAAAATTAGATTCTTGTACTCATTGTGATTTTCGTTCAACAGTACTTATGTTTGCTTAATTCAATGTGATATTTACTCAGTGTAGTATTTGTTTTATTTTTTCACTATGTCAATTTATTCGATATAACATTAATTTATTCCAGTGTGATGTTTATTCAAGATACAATATTCTTGTAATAAATTAACATGAACTATGTATAGCATGACAGGTAGCATATGATTTGTTATAACTATAAGTAACTTTCAATGTATGTGGTTTCATCCTTATGAATAATCAAACGGGTTTACAATCAATGTATAAACGTGTGTATTTTTTACTAGGGTCGCTGTCGTGCTTTGCGTTTGATAAATCTTCACTTGTATCATTCTTGATGTTCTTACTTCGCGTTGTGAGAATTGAAGTGGTTCCTCGTATTCGAGTATAGGTGATGAGCGATTCCAATATAACAATTAGCGACGACCAGTCATAACAATTGGCAACGCAGTCACAGCAGAGTGAAATAGAATAAATACACATTATAATTTAAAAATTTGTAGTTAAAATTCCTAATTTATATACACATTACAGTTAAATATTGAAGTCAAAAGTCAAAAGCTTGGTAATTAAACTGTAATATCATTGCAAGAAATTTAGTTTTTAAAAAGTCTTCATCACTTACTTGTATACAACGTAATAATGTATAATCCAATAGTATCCAAAGTGTAAAATGCATCATAATTAAATAAATAATTTGAATATCAAATAAATAATGCATAGTTAATGCAAATAATAAACCAAGTGTAATTGATTCACATAATGGCTCCAATACACCTGAAACTAACGGCAACATGTTCAATCGTAGCCGAAGCCAACGAACCATTCGCCTGATATAATTTATCAATGTACTATTACTAACATTTTGAATAACTGGATAAGATGACAGTACTACTCGATAACCTCTAGAAATATAGAGAAAACAATAAATTCGAAATATAAAGGATAAATGTAAAAAGAATATTAGGAAACCATATAGATGCTTCCATGTTTATGTACAGAATAAATACATCTTTAAACAACAACCAACCGTAAAACTATAATAGTACATTGATCAACATTACACATAATCATTATTTACGTAATAAATAATATGTTTTGCTTGTTTAGGCAACAGTATGCAAATTAAAACAAAAAAAAAGAATTAATCTAACAGGTTTCAAGCCAATGAATGATTATAAGATGAAACAGAAGTAATTGAGTCTATGGTGAAAAACCTGTATGACCTTAATTTTTACAAAAATACTTGAATGGAACATATTGTATGACAATAATTTCCCAAGAATTATTAATTTCAAGCAAAAACATTTATAAATACATTAAGAAACTATATGAGTAGATTTCTTTGCTGTTGATTTGAGCAAATAAATACGTGATGAAATATGAAGAGTTCTGACAAACAAAACTACGAAATCTGGTAGAGAGGAAAAAACAATTGACTAGATAATCCAGAAAATTGAAGTTAGTGAAAACAATCTTAGAAAAGCGAATATATGCATATATAAATCTCGTTGTCTACTTGCTATTTTCGAGACTACCTTCGAGACGCACGACGGAGTCTCCAGGGGCCCTGAAAAGGCGGAAAAGTTCCCATCCAATGACAAACCGATGGAGCGTTCAAGAATATCAACGTGACATGCTATAGTTGGACGGCAGCATAACTTCCCTCCTTGACGACTGGCTGAATTATAATGATATTATAACTAACGCTAGTAACTATAAATACACATGCTTTCTGTTCATTTTTGATTCTTACCCAACAACCACTTCTCCTACTTTCTCCCTTCTTCGGATTCGAGATTATGGAGTTCTATATATTCGAGTGCTGTTAGTTGTATATTGTATTCTGCATTAATCAAGTAGAGGACGCAACAGCTATCTTGAAAATATTTACAGGAAACGGTTAACGTCATCATAAGATGTAATTTCTTAAATCTGAGTAGTTGTTTTTTTCAAAATATCATTGTAGTAAACCATACTCTCTTTGTTATTACAAATACCATGATTTTCTGAAAATTTCATTTCAATAACGCTTGTTTGTAATATTCCAACTTACCGAAATACTAAAGAGTTTCAATCGAATACCTACAACATTTCACTACACTCTTAAACAAAGTATTTGTGAACATTTTTATTGTCACTTATAATGTTTTCTAGGATAGTTCAATAGATTCTATAAAATCGGAAGTTTATCAATATTTATCCATGATATTTCTGGCGTTCATCGAACTAATGAGTTAGCAGACATTGACAATAATACATGTTACTACTATTAGCGGTCTACCGTCATTTACGTTTATGTCAACGCAAATCGCTATCATATTCCAAAACCATAAAAAAATATTTTCCTTTTAATTAGTCAATACATGGTCATTTTTATTAACAGTTCATTAACTATAATTATTTCCAAGCGATCAATAAAAATTAATTTACCATTATATATTGTATTTGTTTCCTCATTATATTATCTTTATCCAATTATGGGAATTCTTTATTTTTTCCATCACAATAATTAATTATATAATGAGTAGAATGTATTGCTTAATTTATTCAACAATACGTTTTGAATATTTTTGCAATGACGTTAAATAACAATCTAATGTTTTTTTTCATTCTTAATTGTAAGAAACATTCAGTTTACTGTTTATTTGACAATATCATAATCTTAATGGTTGAATTTATTAGTCCATCTAAGCTAGACCGCCATCGAAAACCTGGGAGCACTGAATAGCCGTAATGATAAACTTCATCCACTGCATAAATATTGATATAGCAAAGAAAATAATAGCGATATACGCAATGGAGTCTGCTAATGTACTTGCAATACCAAGTATATGTACAGTTTATATAAATAGCAAATACGTTTTGATGTTTTAAATGGTTTCATTAAATAATAAAATGACTACACAGACTGAACTGATATGTAGCTCACGGAAACAAGTCACATATTCACGGACTGATGACATCAATTCACTTGGAGAGATTAGTACAACTCTATAACTAATAAGTTGGGATTAAAAGTAACAATTTATAAAGCAGTTCCCACTGATAAAAGTACAAATTTGCTTGCTTTTAAGACAGTAAATCATAGAATTAAAAAAGACTATTATTATATAATTCTATTATAAAATAAAAAGTAGTTATTTCAACCAATTACGAATATTTATTAAAACGTTCCATTACAAACATATCGATTAATACTAAACCATCAAATATAAGACAATAACGTGATTAATTATCGTTATTGAGTACATTGGGTATATATATATATACCAACTACTCACTTCTGACACAATGCAGCACTCAAAAAATAATCTTCAGCCAAATACTTGCCGAAATAGGCTAATCCACCAACTTCATTCAACATGGATTTTTTGACAATATAAGACATACCGGTAAAACATGTCACACCTAATTGATTCAAAGCAGTGTAACTGCGAGCCAAATAACATCCAAATGTAACCTAAAAGGTTAAAAAAATATTATTTATGAAAACATTTCGTGACCAAGATTTTATACTGAATGATGAAAATTTTATTAAAATACACTGATGGTTCCGACACAACTAATTTTTATGCATAAAAATGTCGGATTAGGGTATATACATATTGTGCTATGTTAAAACGTCTAAGTATACTAGAAACAACAAATTTTTTATTGATCCTATGTGTAGAAAACGTGGAATCAATAACAGTTTTAAAAAAGTATTACAAAAAATCGGAAATCAATTTTACACGCTCCAGATTACTTTCGGCGTACAAATAAAATAGCAGCAAAACGATTAAAGTCTTCAAATATGTCACTTTAAATATATATATATATATATATATATATATATATATATATATATATATATACGGAAACGATAACTGAAACAGTTGCTCCCTTTAAATTCCCTAAGATTTCCTAAAATTGACATATGTCTTACAAATCACAGTCACATAACAAATAACAGTCATGCAAACTTTTAAAATAATGAAAATAGAAAATCCACTCTACATCAACTTCATTCACTACGAGAAAACATTTGATAGCATAGACAGGACAACACTATGAAGGCTTCCACGACACTATGGCGTGCCTGAGAAGATAGTCAATATCATACGGAACTCCTATGATGGATTAAACTGCAAAATCTTGCATGGAGGACAACTCACTGACTTGTTCGAGGTAAAATACCAGTGTCAGGCAAGGTTGCTTACTATCAGCCTTTCTATTTCCCCTAGTAATCGAATGAATCATAAAGACGTCAACACCTGGAGAGAAGCATGGAATATAATGGACAGCTAGGATGCAGGTGGATGATTTAGACTTCACAGATGATCTGGCTCTTCTAACACACACGCAACAACAAATGCATGAGAAGACAATCAGTGTAGCAGTAGCCTCAGCAGCAGTGGGTCGCAATATAAACAAAGGGAAAAGCAAGATTCTCCCATGCAACACCACATACACCAATCAAATCACACTTGCAGGAGAAGCTTTAGAGGATGTGAAAACCTTTACATATCTGGGCAGCATCATTGATGAACAAGGTGAATTCTGGTGCAGATGTGAGGGCGAGGATCGGCAAAGCAAGAGCAGCATATTTACAACTGAAGAACATCTGGAACCCAAAACAATTGTCAACCAACACCAAGATCAGAATTTTCAATACAAATGTCATTACAGTTCTACTGTATAGAGTGTAAACTTGGAGAACTACGAAAGTCATCATCCAGAAGATACAGGTGTTTATTAACAGTTGTCTACACAAGATACTTCGGATCCGTTGGCCAGACACTATCAGCAACAAGCTACGGTGGGAGAGAAAAAACCAGATTCCATTGGAGGAAGAAATCATGAAGTGCTGGAAGCGGATTAGACACACATTGAAGAAAGCACCCAACTGCATCACAAGACAAGCCCTCACATGAAATCCTGAAGGTCAAAGGAAAAGATGAAGACCAAGGAACACATTACGGCGAGAAATGGAGACAGACATGAGAAGAATGAACAAAAGTTGGAGAGAAGGAATGCCTAGAGCAGAGTGGGTTGGAGAATGCTGGTTGGCGGCTAATGCTCGATTGGGGGTAACAGGCGTAAGTATGCAAATAAGTAAATATAAAATCAAGTTGATGATTCTTATCTCAATCGGGCACCATCAAAAAAGACTTAAATTACCTCTGGAGCAGAACAGTCTGGTACCTTTGCCGTTTTTTAATCTTAAAAGTATATTTAACACAGATATAAACAAATTTCTCTCAAAAATGTTTCATCTTGTCCAGCCTTCGAACAGTTATTTCATCCTATTCTAAACAATCATGGTTCGGTCTAAAAGAAATTCAATGATGGTATGCACATTTCAACAATTATGTTCATGATTGAAATCTTATTGTAATAACTGTTACATAAATTAATCAGTAAAATCACAAGCTCTCATACACATAGATATGAAAAGAATAGATTAAAACTAAGCGTTATACAAACTAGTATGCATTCCAGTTATTTGATAAATCGAATTTTTCAATAAAATGCAAATCTTAAAAAGTTATTCTGGTCATACATATACATATAACACTAGAAGTATTATATTTAAAATATAAATTTAAGCGATAAATTACATTTGAAGCATCAACCAACTACTAGTAAATAGAAAATAAGTCAACACATTTCACTTATATGTAAAGAAAAACTATTCAAAGTCATTCATGGTTTGTCATGTTGTTCAAAATTCTTCATCTAATCAAATTGAAACAAGAATAATTAATTTAGTGTGGAGTATAAATAAACCTAAGTTAATCTCCAAAAAGAAAAGAAAAGAAGATGAAAGAAACATATGTGTCCACATTTCCACTGTTAGCCACATGACTAAAATTACTGAAAATAAGTGTTTTATTAAATATCCTATATTGGATTACAGTAAATAGTTCTCAAAACAAGCTATACGAAATTATAACAAATTTTCAGTTTAACACAAGAGGGTTTTGTGGAAATTTCAGTAATTTTATATAGTTAAGATCATGGGTAAGTTGAAGCATATGCCCACTAGTGACTGGCTCCATGAGGTAATTCCTGGAGTTCTAGTGAGAAATCGTGGCCAGTGGAGCTAATCCATATCAGGTAGAGACAGGTATCTACCTCAGTACAATGGAAGTTGGTCGCGCAATTTCGTGGATTGCTTGAGGTTAGACATTAACACCGTTGGATGCCGGTTCATCGTTCTATCGGTTATGTGCTCTGGAGCGAGACTGGTAGGTCCTGGGTTAGAATTCCGCGAGGCGGGATCGTGAAGGTGCACTGCTGAAGAGTCCCACAAATGGACGAAACGGCCGTACAGTGTTTCCAAGTTTTCCATGGTGGTCTAGCTTCAACTGACTCATGCTTTTAACTATATAAAATTTTCAGTTTAAATCTATTTAACATGTGAATATTCAAAACAAAAATAGGTATAAAGAAGATACTTTAAGCAATAATTGACCAGTTTTTATATTCATTCGATAATGTTTACTATCAGTCTATGTCCCATGGCACTTTTTTCCATTCCAGATCATATTTAATGTATAAATTAAACTGTATTTGTTTATAGCTTCTTCAAACGACCGGTGAAGAGAAAAAAAATCAGACGCTATAGTGAATCTTAACTTTTTCAGTAATTAGAATAATGATAGATTGAGAATAATTCATGACAAAAGTCTGAGAAAGATGACAGAATTCCACCTTGTATTGGCTTTCATTCTACATTTATCTCTAGGCTGATAGATAAGACAAACGAACTTTTCGATCAGGTAAATTTATACAGACTATTCGTTAAATAAGACTTGTCAAATATTATGTAAAGGTCACTTAGTATTAAGTGGTCCTAGTTAGTTCTTATAAGTTATTACTTGCAGAAATAAAACAAGGCAAATTATGTTATAATTTTAAAATTTGTCAAGGTTATAAGTATGAATAGAAATTGATAGAAGAATAAGCAAACTAAAAAGCAAATTACGTATCCATTATTAGTAAACAGTTAACGTGAATAAATTACTAAATGAGAAACACTTTACAATCAAACTATGTTAACAATGGGCAAATATTGTTTTCAATCTCTTTTATAAATGAACCCTATTTAAAATTAGCGCATAGCAAAGTTATTGCTAAATATAAAAAAATAAGATATCAACAGGAACAATGTATCTGTACCACTAAGCTATGTGGAAACCTATCCAGATCGAATCGATAATACGAGTAATTGATGTCAGTATTCAAGTCTCAAAGATAATTAACAATGCTTAGACAAATTCGAATGCTATAACTAATCAATTAAGCAGATATCAACAATTGTTTTAGGGTAATAGATGCTAGGTTCTAGAGGTACTGAGGAAAAATAAGACAGAAGTATAGGAACATTCGTTACGGAACTATAAAATTTATTACAACTCTTACGATAGATAATTCGAATGTAACCCCTTATTATCCAGTTAAGAAGAAAAGCTTGGCATTTCAAAGATTGACTACTGTCATGTAACAACTAAAAATAACAATAACTTAGACTCAATGAAACAAGGCATATAAATTTTGTGAGATTTCCGTTAAACTTTAACTGAATAGGATTCACAACTGACTAGTCAATAAACAATTGGTCATCGTTTTCAGACTAAAATTATCACATCCAAACAGAACTTACTTTCCAAGTCACATGCTTTGTTAACAAATGTAAATGAGTAACTTCGCAAAATACTGATCAGTAAGTTGCACGTATTTCATTATGATGAAATGGATTGCAATATTTGTCAGACGAAGATCAAAGTCATTTAGTAATCAGATCAAACTACATTTCTTAATTATTTAAATATTCAAGTGCATTGAAGTGATCTTGTGTCTAAATTTTAGTGCATAAAGTATCAATTGTATTGTAATTACTCAAAAGGATATTGAATAATCGAAGGCATAATTTTCATTTACATCATTGAATATATATATATATGTATAAAGTTAAATAACCTTTAAGCTTTTGTCGATATTATCATACCGTTCGCCAAAAAGACCATATGATTTTTTCTAAAAGATCGTGAGTTACATTCCTAAGGGAAACGTTATCGCTATGCACTACTGAAGAATCTCATATTACGAAGAAACAGGTTTCCAGTGATCCGTGTTTTTCAATAGTGGTCTAGCTTGAATAATGAAATTAAATTAAGGTAATACTAGGTGAATGAAGATAGTGACCTTGGACAAAACGTAACTCAATTCTATGCAAATCTAACAATATTGCAAAAAGCAGGCAGAAACTATCAAAAATATGAACACTATATCAATTTAAGAACAACCACAAATCAAATGAACTAAAAGATTAATGGAAAATTTAAAGTCATCCATCCATAAAAGATTGAAAGTCTAGCATTTTTTTATACATGGAATATAAATTAAGCGATATTTATGATCGGAGTTAAAAAGCCATCAAACTATCAATTTAGCATTCAAGAAGGTTTAGTTCACTTTCATTTAATTTACCATTTTATCCAATTGTTTCATTTATCTATAAGATTACAAATAGAAATGTTCACAAAAATAAATTGAACTTTCAGCATCCAAAACAGGTAATTATTTGTCATCTAGCACAAAACTATTATCAAAATTAAAATTTATTTGGCAATGTAACTACTGATAATTTGAAAAATCCCACCAAAAATATGGCCGTAATCATTAAAACAAGAATATATTTTAAATGATAGTTGAAAGCGTTAATTCAAACTAAACATATCTTAAACTAACCAATTTAAAATCATAACACACAGACAAGTAGGAAATGGGTATCTACTGAATACATTAACTTATATAAAGACAATATTTAAAAAGTTGAACTAAATCTGTACCATTATGTATACATATATATTCATGCAAAAGATTGTATTGAACATTGATAATTAGAAAGAATTGTATCTAAGAATCTGTAGTTTACCTGAAAAAATTCATTCACTATTTGCATAGTTGAAATCATGAGTCAATTGAAGCTAGACCACCATAGAAAACCTGGAAGCACTAAATGGCCGTTTCGTCCTGCTATGGGACTCCTCCACAAAACCCCTTCTGATATTTTTTTAAACCGTAGTGATATAATAATTTTTAAAATAAAATAAAATGTGACCACACGAAATTTGAAGTGTACTGAGATGATTGGAAGAAATTAAGTATTATGAAACATAATATTACAATTTTAATCCTTTGTACTTTGACCTAATTCATCATAGATATAAAATAAGATTTCACTATATACTACTATGGATTATATTCAGTAAAAGATTTGTGCCATAAACCTGATTTCATAATGATTTCTTTTAATAAGATTAACACATTTGATAATAATTACTGTTGGACATATCATTTGTAAAAAAAAAGTAAAAAAGAAACATGTCGTGAAGATTATAGATTTCATTAATACAAAGAGTAAAATCAGTGTGTGGGTGTGGGTGTGACAACATTTACAAGAAATGAAATTATTTTAATGTAGAAACGATTCCAAGGTGAATAGAAATAGAATATGCGACTGTACACAAATAAACGTTAACTCTTAAACAGAATTAATAATTCTCTTTGCAGAAGAAGAATTATTACTTCATTATCAAAATGTACCCTAATGATAAATGTGTTATATTGACAATAAACCCAAAATAAATCCCCTTTTATAACACTAGCCATATGTAAAAAAAAAAAATAATGTTTGCAATATAAAATCATACATAAAAGTGTTTTATTCCCACCACCTTAAAAATGTTAAAACTATAGAGAAAAATAGAAAAAAGACTTTGATCTATGTAAAAATTGTTTTCAATCAATTAGCTTAATGAAATCTTGATAATGGGAATACATCATAGTCAGTTATACAATAATATTAATATAATCAGAATGAATGTAGTGGAGATTACAGTACTTTTCATAGTTGAAATCATTATTCAATTGAAGCTAGACCACCATCGAAAACCTGGAAGCACTGAACGGCCGTTTCGCTCTAGTGTGGGACTCCTCAGCAGTGCGCATCCACGATCCCACCTCGCGAGATTCGAACCCAGGACTTACCAGTCTCACGCCAGAGCACTTAACCGTCAAGTCGATGAGCCGGCATCAAACTGTGTTAATGTCTAACTTCAACTGATCCACGAAGTTTGAGCAACCGTTCACCAATTGTCTTTAGTGAGTTGTTATCTCAAAACAGACGTGGTTGAACTCCACTGGTCACTGCTTCACACTAGAACTCCAAAACATGTATCTGGGTTCGAATCTCTCGAGGCGGGATCGCGGATGCGCATTGCTGAGGAGTCCCACACTAGAACGAAACGGCCGTCCAGTGCTTCCAAGTTTTCCATGGTGATCTAGCTTCAATTGACTCATGATTTTAACTATGAAAAAACTAATATAAATATACTAATTTAAGCAATGAGAAATATTTAATACAGTGAAAGGAGGAAGGTCTGTATGATGTAAGTTCTATGTATATTTTTCGTTCACAAACTAATTAAATTATGTAAGGAAAGATGGATAGTGATCAGTAGTGTAATTCAGGATGCGCGTTTCGTTCTATTTAGGACTCACCAATTGGAATCATCTAGATTCCAGAATTAATGATCACTAGGGGATTTGAACCCGATCCCATTCACCTCAAACGCCATCGCAATATCCGCTTAGTTACTGAGTTTACATTGTTACTGACTTGTCCAACGGGGTAAATTTTAATTCATATACATTGTATGTTTTCTTCATTTTTAGGACTGCAACTGATTAACATAGCTTCATTCTGATTGTGATCATTTTTACCTGTATTCCGTGATAATTAACTTCGTGTTCTACTTCCTGTTTATTTACTATCCAACAACATGTGACACTACATAAATCCAAATAAAGTGTATTTTTGGAATTACACTGAAAAAAGGTTACGTCATGTCCGTTATTTAGTATACATTTGATAGGATTTTCAATCACTGAATAGTTACAATGAAAAGGTCAATAAAATATCTCAAATACTTTAGTCGCTTAGATCATTCAAAGGTTTAAATCTGACTAGATGTGTCGAATGTTACCAAATTTATGCTAAGGGTACAATGACCTTGATCATAACATGTAAATTTTCATCATTAAATTATTTTGTATAGCGTACAAAACTCCTAGTACAAATTTTAATACATCAAAGGTATTCCAGTTAAGTGATATGCACAGAAAAGTATGCTCCACATATATATTTGGAATGACAAAACAGTGTGCTGAGTTAATTTCCTTTCAAACAATTTCCTACACTCTTTTATGATGTTTGTTTAGAATCCCCTTAATTTCTGATGTTTCACTACGGTATAGGATAACCACGGTGGACTTCCAATCTTTCGGTATATACTCTAATGTGGTTTTCCTTTTATTTATAATAATCTTCCTTACAAACTCTCTGGAGTAGTTTTTACCCCTAAGTGTAGACAAAACTCTATTTAATTCGACCTGTTGGTCTTCCTTATCTGTAACGAGATTAATACTTCTGTTAATTAAATTTTTTACCAGTTACTTTCGTACAATACGCATGAACCCAACCGTAATTTAAGTATCTCTCAGAATGTGTTGAATTCCTGAATACATTTATTTCCATCTTATTATTATGTCTTTGTTCAAACAAATAATCGACAAATGTTAGTTTGTAGTCATTCGGCTCTATTTCCTTTGTTAGCTTGATGTTCTCCGAAATGCTGCTTACGTTTTCAAACAATTCTTCCAAACCATTCCGTTTAATAGTTTCACTTAAAGATTCGTCTACAGTTGGCAATAAAATGAAGGCTACCCTATTTACCTATCTTTTATCCATAACATATTATGAAGCTTTGTTGACAGAATAACTTTTTCAATGCTCGATTTATTTTAAATCGAAAAGTTACATATGAAAGTTTAGTCTATTTTGATGAACCCGGTTACAACTAATCAATTTATTTAGTTAATATTGTAATGAATAATTTACATAAGATTTGTGTTATTGAGGGAATATCATCCTACATTTAAATATATTATCTTCAATTGGGGTGTTATTTTAATTTTTATAGTAAGATTTGTCAGTTGGTTTAAATAATTAATCGTTTGTGCTAATACGTATGTAGGTCAGTCTAGATTACTTAGTTCACGTATCCATGTAAAAGTTTTAATCACACAGAATCAACTGTTTAAAGCTTATTTTTAATGAACATGTTTAATGTGACTAGAGAAAGGATTGATAGGATTATGTATGACATACCTTCAGTGAAATGATTAATAAAGCTTCATATATATGCATGTATTTGTATTCAAGTTTGAAAAGAATATGTACTTTCTAACTTCTGTATTAAGCTTATTGCTGTACAGAGATCTTTTTTTACATATGTTTATAGGAGTGATAAGCTAATCTGATAAAATACTAAAAGGAATCTTAGAAACTGAACTGGTAACTGACTTGTGAAGGAAGTCTCCAGATTTCAACCGTTATATATTACAAACAACAAAACACTTAGACGCTTAACTAGTCAGCATTTTATCAATGATTAAGATAGAGGGATTTCAGAAAAAAGATATTAGACTTTCAGACTTTAGACTTATTTCAATGAAAACATTATACTTTGTGAAGTATGAATAAGTGGTAAATAGAATATTCACTCAATTGGCATTAGGTAAGAACCTGATACAGACATAGATCGTTTCATGTTGAAATAATTCACATCGATTAAGAGAGAGGACATTCCTGAGATGAAGAGTATAGAAATGAGGATAATAATAAGAATAAGTCCTAATGGGAAACTATTCCCAGAAAATATGGTTTAACAGGAAAGTAATAATATGAGCAAAAACGTTAAATAATTACCATATACGAAACTCAGAGAAAACTAAAGAATGAATACGTTTACTCAACTGCAATCAATCTTAAACAATGAAATCAAATATTTTTCATTATGTATTGCAAAAGCATTTCCATCCCTTGGTTCTTATGTTTATCGACGGTAAACAAATTAAACATACCTAATAAAAAGTCCAGGTACTCAAATATTCACTGAAAGAAAATGATGAGCGATGCGTAAATTGAATTGATTAAACGTTAATGATTCGAGAGAGATAAATAAATTTAATAAAAAATGAATCTGATGAAATATAAAATAATCTCAATGCAACACATTGTTACCAGCACTAATTAATGCTGAGAGAAAATGATGTTTGACACTTCTACCCCTGCCAAATGAATCGCGATGAAATTTTTTTAAAGTTTCAAAAGAAAACATCTGCACTACCTTTTCAATAGCGGCTACAAAACCAGAATGATCGGCGAAAAAAGGCAATTGATGAACAATAGCAACTGATGGATCATGAGCTTTACAGACGAAATCCCAAATGACCTCAGCGGATGCTATGAAAATTTCATATTAAAACAAAAATAATCGACTTACAATTATCTTTAAATTTATTATAATCATAATATTTACAATTCAAATAAAAGGGAATTTGTAAAACAAAAAATTATATTTAATAGTACAACATTATATTCAAAATATAGTAAGTAAATCTAACATTGTTATTACATTATTATCAGTATAGGAGTTTTGATTGAGATCATTAATCGATCAATGTTTGATTGGTTGAAGTCAGATATTAACACCGGTGAATGCTAGCTCAGTAGTTTAAGTATTAAGCATTCGCGCGCGAAACTGAAAGTCCTGCGTTTGAACCCCACGTGCGGAATCGCGGATGCGCACTGCTCAGGAGTCCCATACTAGGAAGAAACAAACTTCCAGTGCTTCCAGGTTTCCAATGGTGGTCTAACACTGATCGATTCATGATCTCAATTACTATTATTGTTCAAACGTCAGATTAAATTATTTCAATAAGGTTAATATTGCTAAACTAAGTTTGAAAATATGCATGCTAAAAGTACAAAGAGTATTACGTTTATGACAAAAGCTACCTTGACAAAACTAACCAATATACTGTTAACAAACATGATACCAGTAGAATGAACGACAATTAATATTATTGGAAAACAACTTTTGTTCTCACTTAAAGCATAATGGGATAAAATATCTATTATCAAAATAATTCCTGTTATAAAACGAAAATTAGATTCGTAGAGTTTATTTAAAAATCACGAAATAACTTCTTGTAGTGCAAGCTTAAAACAATAAGAATAGTAATGGACATGTTGAATATTTTTCTTAAATCGTGCGAAAACAAGCTATTCTAAGGTTGTAAAATAACCGATCTTTCCGAGACGTGGCTTCAAAGGTGATAAAATATTTGAAAAGAATAGCTTTAGATTAAGGACCTCGAAAATACTTTTCCACGTCCGGCAATAATTGTATTTCTTGACCTTTAGGTAGCATTCATCTCGGATGGTCGTGAGGTTCTAAGGCAAGGTCTGATATTAAAAGAAGCAGTCTACTCAAACATTATTGGTCATGTCAGATCTTATGGTAAACTGTTATCAAAATTGAGAACTTTAAGTGACCTTCTTCAAGAATACTCACTTTCTTCACTTTTATTTAACTACGTTACAGACATTCTTTCGAACATAACGCTCTCACTGTCAGACTTTTCAGGGATTAGTTACTTAGAATATGCAGATGATATAATTCTGTTTGGTGAAAACTGACGAAATGCAGAGTCTTCTGACCATCTCAAGCAACAACCAAACACGTTTGAGATGAGCTTCTCTACCTCAAAATCCAAAATTCTGCTTTAGGACTGGCTCGTGTCAGCCCTTCGATTAATTTATAGGAAGTGAAGTAGTTGAACGTTTCGACCACCTCACTTATTTCGAGGGTCTCATCAGTTCTGATTGTTTGCTACCTGACGAAATCTTGGCATGGATTCAGAAGGCTCGACTGATTTTTACCAACACGCATCACTTGTAGCATAGGCAGGATATCAGCCTGCGAATCAAAGGACGAGTTACTGAACAGAAAATATTCACTCAGAAAATATTCCAACCTTTATCATCAGAAAGCTAATGCATTTATCGAGCATGATAAGTATGATTTCGATCACTGAAACAGTAGTGGTAGGGCACTGCTTAGCAGTCCTACATTAGAACGAAACAACCCTCCAGTGTTTCCTGGTTTTTAATCTTTGTCGGTGTTCGAAAACTGCAAAATTTAATAATCTCCTTAACTCTCTATACTAAGACGAAATAAATATTTCTTATTATATATATCAAAAATTAAAAACACAAACAATTTTTGTTATCAGAAGGAGGCTTTGTGGAGATCTTAGCATTTTAATAGTTGAATTCACGGGTCAATTAAAGCTGAACCGATAGGTCCTGGGTTTGAGTCCCGCGAGTGAGATCGTGGATGCGCATTGCTGAGGAGTCTCATACTAGGACAAAACGGAAGTCCAGTGCTTCCAGGTTTTCTAACTTTAATTGACTCATGAATTCAACTATTAAATATTTTTTGATCAATTCGATTACCCTAAAATATGACTAGGCAAGACTTTTTAAGTAATTCACTACATGTGTTCAAAAAAAACTTAACAAAATAATTTTCAACAGACAGTCTGTATGGATGATCGTAACTTTCAAGATAAATTGAACGGTCATTTAACAAATATCAAATAGATAACGAGAAACATAAAAACTATGGTGTACACGTCATACTACTCTTGAACTCCTATTTATTAATTTTCTATTCTAATGAATGACGCATTAGTAGTATTATAAGTAATTCATGTGCAGATCCATTTCTAGATAATTCTAAATGTTAACTAAAGAATATTTCACATAACCTACTTAAACCAGTTTTAAAACAGTAAAGATTACCAGAAGTTGTCCTAATGTTGTTAAGTATGCACGTGGTTAATTTCTGAACTTGATTAGTCATAAAACCATTGGAGTTAATGAATGAGATCGTTAATTTATTAAAATAAATTTAAACAATATCCCAAATTGACTGTCCAGAATGTAAGAAATTGCAGTGAATTAACTGGCACTGGTGAGTGTATGTTAGAGAGAAGAGAAGAGTGTATGTGAGTGTATGTACTTGACAGTTAATCGTTTTTAATTAATGATGCATTAATCGTATAAAAAACCTTTAATAACCTGAAATGTGTTAAACTACAAACAAAACTACGATCGAATGAAAACGTTTATATATGTGATTGGTAAGTGAACAATTCGATACAAAGTCCAAAGCTCCTAATTATCAATTATGAAACTAAAAAAATCAGTAGAATCTGGTAGTTTCGATTAAGCAACTACATGACTGCGATCAGCTACCTTAGCTTATCCAAGGTGTTGTTTGAACTCCATAATCTACCTTTTTAATCTGACCACTGATCTAAGCTACTGAATAACTGTTTTCTATCAGGCTTCTACAGACACCCATTAAAAGTTCAAAAGCTCAAACACTATGATTTTCATAGATCTTACCGATACAATAGTGTGCTGTAAGCTTTTTAATGCGGACAGATATAAATAGTATGTAGTAGGAATCGGGAGTAAAATGCTTACCAGCAGAAAATTGAAATGAAAAGGTGACGAAGAAGGAAAATAGAGAGCAATCAGAATAAAAACGGGATCGGGAGAATGATAGACTGTGGAATGAACAACTCAAGGAGGATATGCGATTGATGTATTTTATGTGTGATTGTTATATTTTACAAGGGCACTGCGTAATTTTGCGTAAAAGAATAAATTGACTTACCCCACCTGAGTTTTTGCTCACTACAATACTGTTTACAATTTCTAAAACCATTTTTTCACTATGAGATACCAAACTAAATCAGTAAAACTACGTTTAAAGAAATAAAGAAAACATTAAACCAAACGGTTTAAATGTAATGTGGCAAATTAAACACTACAAACTGCCAATCTACCTTTAACTCGACTTGTGCTCACCCAAACAAGATTATATTTTGCAGCCTCGTAAGCAGGTACCATATTGTGTACCATTGGATTCACTACTCCGTCTTTACCTCCTGAAGAAGTAAAACAGAGATTATTTTCAAAAGTCAGTCAAGATCATTTCTTAATGACTGAATGATTAAATCGTTACATAAAAAATTGTCTACATAACATTTCACTAAGCTAATTATAAATTATTAAGTCAAATTATGTAACTCAGGAATTCTAGCTGCCCAAATAAACAATTAATATCAACGATGATACAAATGATATGTAGGATTTTAATTATAGAGATTACAAACTGAATTTGTGATCCCCAATTTACGCACCATGCAACAACGTGAGTGAAATGAGGCTCCAAAAAATCGTATTTAAAATTATTCTAGCAGTTTGTAGATTTCATCAGGTAATGTACAAACATACGATTAGATAGTTATACAGTGACTGATTGTCGCATAATTAACAATATTTATAAAACAGTGAAGTTGTGAAATGTTTCATGTTAATAACAGTTTAATTTCATCTTGTATTTCCTTTTGCGATGTACGCTTGATTCGGAATTCTGTACTATGCTGTCCTTCCGAATGACATTTAAGCCATTGACTTTAAGCGCATTGGTCAAGTTAACATTTGATTAGTATTTAAGGGATTATTTTTGCTAACCAACAGTTCCATTAAGACATAATGGTATTGTATATCTTTACAGTTGAGGTGAAAAACACTACTTCTCAACATAGTTCCTCCTGTTTCCAGAAAATAACTACATTTCATCATTGGGAAGTAAGATCTCAAGGAAAGGAGAAGTTAGTGAATCATTAAATTCACTCAGTACTCTCAATGAAATGTAATTTAATAAAATTCCAGAAAGGATACGGGAAACTAGTTTAGTTATTTGTGAGCTCCGTATATATTGAGATAATAAAAAAATAATCGCAAATAAATGTCTACGTTTAGCAAGAAGACTGATATTAACAATATGCTGTTTTTATTTTAAAGATTAATATGCATGCGCGAGCATCTAATCAACAGAATTCATAAGAAAACTCATGATTAATAAAGTAACAACTACATTTTTTATAGGCAGTGTTATTTTGATGTAAGTGAAGCGTAAAACGGATGAGCTTATCAACATCATTATGAACAAATATAAAATCTATCGTTCGAGTGAAACTGATTTTTATAACGCCAAATTCAGTCACTTTCAACAGTATGGATGCAATGATGGTAGATCTTCTGATCATAAAGATAACTTTTTCAAGGTGCACCAACCTGATTATTACGATCAAGAAATAGGTTCAATAAAAAAACACTTTAGAAACTATTTATAAATTATAAGCAAAGATGGATAGTGGCTAGCAGTGGAATCCAGGACGCGTGTTTCGTCCTATTTGGGACTCGATAGCTGGACGTACCTGCATCTCAGAGTTGATGTTCACTCTGGGACTCGAACCCAGTACCTTTCGCTTCAAATGCTATCGCGTTTCGCCTCAACAAACAATACTAAATGAATTTATTTATATATTATTTCGAAGAACTGTGTTATTAGGAAATGTTTTATCAAAACGAAAAGTCATCCAGATCCTTTACTATCATATAATATCAAGAAAACTGTACAGAGCATTGCTGAAACTATCTTGAATGCATTTATATATTGCTCGATACAGTACACATTATAAGCTATGTATCAAAAGATTCTGATATCGTTTAATAAATACCGTTTAAAACAGTAATTATTGTTCTGGAAACATTAGAAAATGAAATCTCTGTTCTTTCTGTAACCAAATATATTAAAAATAACAATAATAATTACAATGGCAATCATTTTGTTGCCAGATTTTCATTGACTAACATCATAAGTCTATTTGTTTCTTGTGAGGTGATTTCCTAATTTCATTATCTAATGTGTGTTTTAAGCTTACTGAATAATGCATATGCATATGACCCGTAATATTATTACATTTATTTTAGAAACCATTTTGTAATTAAAATAAATAAAGCAGATGACTTTTTTTTTATTTTTTCGATGTCATTTCATACACACCTATTTTTCCTAATATTTTTATGACTTACAATATAAGTGAATTTTACAATTTTTTGAAAAAAAAACTTTTATCAGAAGGGGTTTTTGTAGATATAATAGTAATTTTGATAGTTGAGATCATGAATCGCGAGGCGGGATCGTGAATGCGCACTGCCCTGGAGTCCCATAATAGGACGAAACGGCCGTCCAGTGCCTCCAGGTTTTCCATGGTGATCTAGCTTTAATTGATTCGTGATCTCAACTATCAAAACTTTTTTTGTTTAACGTTCAATAATAGAATAGTTCAATTTTCAATAGAGATAAAAATACAATAATTTGTAAACAATTTCATTACATGAGTTATTTACCAGATAATGTGTAAAATAACGAATTTCCTTTCTTGAATAAGGTTGATAAAGAATCTCAATATTTTGGTAAACTTGTACTTTTGATTAAGATTTACTCTTAAAGTACTGAAGAAACGTATAAACTTTCTGTAAGGATGGCTCGTCGGCAAACTCAAGGAAGCCTCAAAAAGCCCAGAAAAAGCCGAAGACATTCAATCCAATCACCGCTAGAGGAAGATTCTAGGATATCGATGTGTAGCTTCCCTATTGGATGAATAAGAAGAACCCATATGTGCCCATTGGTTTTCCGAAATGACGATTTACTTTCAGCCAAAAAACTATAAATACATGAAGTTTTTGTACTATATTTGACACTGGAATAACATTCCTACTTACTATTCTTCTTTCGTCTCATTTTTCGACTTGGGAGGGTTCTAGAGTTTGAGTGCTCAAGTATTACGCGACATACTAAAAATCTAAGTTTGAGATATAACACTTTCATGCTATTTTATTCAGCTAACACTCCTTTCGTTCAAAGTGGTTAGTTTTTTTTCTTTTAAGAAAAAAAAGAGTTAAAAATCATTTCGAATATTTCAATTACTCTGATTGCCTCAATCGAAGTACCATTTTACGACATTTTGTTTTGCTTATACTTATAACAGAAGTTAACTGAAACTGTCTTCTTTTGTGCATCCAATTCGGAGTATCTGGCATTTCTATCTTAAACACTAACTTACTGTATACTTAAACCATATAAAACCAGTTACTAAACAAAATCTATATAGCGGCAATTTTTTTCTTTGTTTAAACGAATTTATTGTTATTCCTTCATAGTTCTTATGTTAACAACTAACAAGTTGATAAAAAAATCTTCAACTGTTGGATAGTCATTGTTTTATCTATTATCACTGAATTCATCATTTATCTACTGTAACCTTTCTAATTAATTCACACCAGTCAGCACATACACTGTTTATAGATAAATATATTTATAAACTTATATGCCTAGAACACTTATACATTTTATATTGAATTTACGGCTCAACCAACCACACTTCAAGATTCAAAGTTCAGGTTCACTTTTATTGGACAGAATTCGCCGCATTTCCCTAACAATACGGTTACCACAAATACACTTCTACAATCGAGTAATTCTTTTAGATTTTTTTATATTCAGTAAGTTCTGTACAACAAGCTCACTTTGGAGATAATTCAGTAATCAATACACCTCATCTTGCAAACCATACCTAATATTTCCGCTTTTAATTCTTTTCATTTCAAATAGGCAACAGTAAACTACAGGAAACCATGAAGAGAAATATTATGTTCATTGATGCTTAACGAAAAAACTTAACTGTGATCATACTGCTCTCACAGTTTAACACTACTTCATTTGATATCAGTCAGTGATATAAACTAACTTCACATAACGTAAACCATTGAAGTAAATGATAGTCTTCCACTTGTTAATAAACATTATTCAAGACAGATTTTCCAAAGATGTAGTACGTATATGCTGGATATGTAATCAAAAAAACAGGGGAAATCATTAATTCTCAAAGATGATACTTGGCAATAACCTCACTTTATGATGAACAGACTGGAATTGAACAGGATGCTTAAATATCTCATTATTACCGCTGCTTGACATCAACTAGAAAAGCACAAGACACAAAGGACAGTGGACAAATCTTTTGCATTGATTTGGAATTTTTTAGTATTGAGTACTCAAGACTTGGGAGTAGAACCCAGATCATTGGGGTCTCAAAGAGAGTGAGATATATGTTGACTACCATGTCGAATCTAATGATCTACAATTCCAACTTCACTTAATTTATAGTATAAAGTGGTTGTCACCCAATGTTCACTGATGATGTTTATTTTACTCATGAAATGATTGACGTCGATCAGCCACATCTCCCTTGAACTTTCCATGAAATCACCAAACAAAATGCAATTATTACTAAGAGAAAGGTTTTGTAGTAATATATATCATTCTGAATTGAAATCAATTAAAAAACTGATAGGTCCTGGGTTCAAATCTTGCGAAGCGGGATCGTGGATGCGCACTGCTGAGGAGTCCCACACTAGGACGAAACGGCCGTCCAGTGCTTCTAGGTTTTCCGTGGTGGTCTAGCTTCAATTGATTCATGATCTCAACTATCAAAATCACTATAACATCTACAAAATCCCTTCTGATAGTAAAAAACTATTAGTCTAAGAGTTATCGTTCTCACTATAAAACCTAAGTGTTTCGAAACTAGTTCCTAATGCGACTGTGGCTGCATACTTCTGAGAAGTCTAGAACTAGTACGATATATTTGGACAATGCCTATCAATTCTCAGTAACTATCAAGTTACTATCCATTTGTAATGAAAATAACCTTCATATAATCATATAAACTCCTCTTTTAAAGAGTATGGGATATTTTTGAAATAATTTCAAATAAATACTTACCAATAAATAATCTGCTATTTACATGAGGATATTGTTCACATAATGATTGTAATAAACTAATTACTGGATCATTTTCATTTTGTACACAAAATAGCAGTTCAAACTAAGAACATATGGAAAAAAAGAGTAATTTGAAAACGTACAAATT